AAACAAATCACGGGATTTTCCTGTGTACCGTATCATCTGAAATTACCAAACTTGACCAGCAGGTGGTGCTCTTGAACTACCGAAGTAAACGTTCCTTTAGTTCCCGTGTGAAAACGATGACACAAAGGTGCAAAGGAAGTGAACCGATGGGTTCTTGGTGGATGCTGAAAACTGCGTAATTCAAGTGAGTCATGAAAATAATAAACTGCCCCTACTAGGACCTAAGACATGGAGGATATGGAGGACTTGTCAAGGTCCACATCTTCTCTAAGGCTTAGAGTTCCAGCAGCCCCATTTTCTCCCTTCAACCTACTGAGGTCTAGTCGTGGTTACAAAGGGAGACTGTGCTGTTGGTGCAGGGAACACAGCCCACTCCTTCCGCTCTGGCTCTGTTCTGCGCCACAGAGGGCCTCCTGCACCTGAATATGAACACTTAGCCTGAACGTACAAGTTTTGTCCATAACTCCTCCAAACAGCCATTCTCTGACCACCCTTCAAGCTGAGAAATGAGCCTACCAGTGGGTGAATCCACGGCAGAGGCCCCAGGGACCTCAGGAATGTTTGGGCCAGGCGTTTGGGGGTCCTGGTTCCTGGAAGCATGGTCTAGAAAAGGGGGACAGGTATCGGCTCAGATGTGCATGAGCCCGTGGGCCCAAAACTTCCTCTTCTTGGAAAAGGTGAGGGATGTCTTCTCATGAAGGCTCAGCTGCTCAGGGGTCTAGCAGGAAGGGTCATGAGATACCTGTCCCCACACCAGGGTAGGTCCCCCAGTGTCATGGAGTTCTGTGACGCTGGGGATCCTCTCTCCCCCAGTACCCCTCTTTCACAGGGGTGGGGGAGGAGTGGGAGTGCCAGTTTTGCTAAAAAGACACTATCATTCAAACAGAAGTGCTCTGAGTTTAGAACTTGGAGCATCCAGTACCTTTTGCTATCAATTCTAGGTTTAGTCAAAAGTCAGAGGAAAAAAAAATTCTGCTTAAAACAAAGGGAAAGTTCCACTTGGCCTCTAACCCCACCTGGTTACATATTCATAAACCGTGATCTTTCCCCACTTTTATATTCTGTGTACACAAACAGGCCAGCATGTCACTCTGACTCTTCAGGTTACAGACTGAGTAACTACGCGGGTCTGACACGGAGCAAATGCTTAATGACTTATTAGTTCTGATTGCTATTGTTCTGATTCCTTTATGTGATCTCTTCTTTTCTTTTACAGAGCAAAATGTCTTTCACATGTTTTTTTTTCTTTTATCTTACTGAGTATGTGAAGTAAATATTTTCTTTAAAATGTTGTGTTTCCTGTAAGAAAATACTTTAGTAAGATGTCCTATTAACTCTTCACAGAGGAAACCTAAGCATGGGATCTACGTCACATTTTCTTCTCATCTTTGTTCCATCTTTTCTGAAGTCAGCATACTGTCTTGCAAATTATAAATGCAAATGTTTATTGAATGAAGACCTACATGAGTACTTACTCCTCAATTACCCTTTTAAGTTGAGTTAGAAAATGAAGCTGGATGTGAGGCTGAAGTTCTATTAATACTTCTAAAAAACAATAAAAGCTCTGGGTTTAATGAATAGATGTTAATATTAACCTTAGTAATCATAGTTAGCATAATATTAGATTTTTCCTCTCTCTTACATTGTAAGTGAAATTTTTGATGGCAGTATTTTTACACAGTAACAAATTTTAAAACTCTCATTAAATATTCCAAAAATGTTTCAAACTTGGGAGGATCTCAACTTAAAAATAATAAGCCTATACTAATTTTTCAATGATACATTTTAAATTGGAGTCACAAGAATAATGTCATCCTAGTAAGTTAAATTATCTCAAGCATTACAAATGCTTACAATATCAAATAGGTACTTATTATTCCTCAACCCTAAAATATTACAACCAGAGGTTTAATTTACTCTGAATTTTATTTATTTCTCATCTTTTCTAGATTTAAACATGTTTACCTGGTAAGGAATTTAGTACGTTATCCCAAATGAGTTTTGGATTGCCTTCCCCAGCAAAATTATGGGGATATCATCTCAGAAGCTGAGATGCCTTCAGTCTACAGCTGCCATCAAGATGGTAGCGAACTTTCTTCAGTCTTGTTGGTGTTGCATTTCTTTGCTTTCCATAAGACAGATGAATGTCTAGTAAGCGCTAAAATGACTTTAAGGTCATTCCATTGGATCTTTCATGCTGTAATTCTAAAGCATCCTCTTTGAGTAGGAAGAATCCTCTGTTCTTTTCTTCTTCTAACTCTCTGGACCACAGCTCTTTTGAATTCTAAATAACTGTTAGGGATTTGTCTGACTCTGCTGTCATAGTGCTAGAGCCCAATGACAAATAACACAGAAGGAAAAGTAATTAATACTTCTTGGAGGAGAAGGCATAAGAATAATACCCTAAAAGGAACACCCTGGTTTTAAGAATCAACCTGAGGCAACCATGAGGCCTGAGGCTGCTGAAGAACATGCTTCATCCAGGAAATTACAGTTCAGTCCATCTATTCTTCCAGTAAATCCCCTGCTATGTGTTGAGGTCCTTTCGTACCAGTCATTTGTGCCTGGCAATCAGGCAGGTACATACAATACAGCCTCCAGAACACACTCTAGTGGTAGGGAGTCAGGCGTGGGGATGGTGGAGGTGGGAAGGATACAAAAACCCCAGGGGAAACTCAGGGGAAATGGAGCACTGGGGGATCCAGGAAGCCCCTAGGAGCTCCACCTGGGAGCATGCAATGCAGCTTTGTCTTCTACTTAGTGAAACCATCTCTGAGATTTCATATCCTCTGTCATTAAGGAAACTGTATCTTTTCTATGTTTGAGGGTCTTTCTATCAATCACATGACTGTACTATTGTGATGACTGCACACAATCATAAGTTAAAAACAAACAACAAAATCCCTCATTCAAACAGATTTAACGTTAAGTAAAGGGAATTTAATAATGTTCCATGTATCTCTGAAATATTCAAAGATACGTCTGATTTCAGGAAAGGCATGAACTAGTAGCCCAGAAATATCACCAGTGACCTGATGTTTGTGCCATGTTCCTACCCTGCTACCTCAGCGTCAGCTTCAGTAAAGGACAATTCCTCATGGTCCTAAACCTGTTCAACACTCCCAAGGCCTGTGCTTCCTCACTGGCAACAGCAGGGAGAACAAGCTCACGTTTGTTCCAGTGTTCCCGTGAAAAGCCCCGAGATTCACCCTGATTGCAATTCCTGGGTTACCTGTCTATCCCAGGTCCAAACACTGTTGCCAGAGATTAGCTTAGATGAGGTGAGGTCATAAACGCCAATCCCACGTCCAGCTTGGAATTACTCTCCCTGGAACCAACCCAGTGATCAAGAGCCACGAATGCTGGGAAGGCATAAAGTCCACTAGAGATGGTAACAGAAACAAAAAAATTCACTCTTTCCCTCCGGCTGTGTATTTGGTACAAGACTATGCTCCTTGAAATGTTTCATTTCAAGAATATGCAAAGCAGTGCTTAAAATGGCAGAAAAAATTGGAAGCAACTTTAATGTCTAACAATATGAAGTCAGTTAAACAATTCATAGTACATTTATATAATAATTAACTTCAAGTCTCAGAACATGTTCGTATTTTTAAAAATTACCAAAGACCCAAAAGAGCTTTTGTTAATGTGGGCTATATCACTACTTACCATCATAGAAATTAAAACTGAAAAAAAATTTAATATTTATTAATTCATTAAAAAATAGCGGTAGTAAATCCATTACATGTTAACATGAATACCTTAAAAAGTATATCTTCCTCTTCATTCTTCCTCCCCCTCCAAATAGTGAGAAGAGTGGCATTATTGTCTGGTTTAACAGAAGTGGCTGGATTCTCAGATCTGCTTCTGCATTCAGCACGGTTTGGGCTCAACATGTGAAGAAAGCCTGACCTCAAACAGGTATTTAGTTGGAAAGGGAGGAGTATTTTAATAGCTTTTCCAGATAACTGTCAACATTCTTCTTTGAAACTATATGAAAACCGGACAAGTGTTAGCTTCTTCAAGATTGGTTACAGTGCATAATCTGAAGCCACGTAAAGGAATTTTTTCATACTCTGCCACATTAAAATGTATTGGTCCACTGTACACTTCACATGAATCCTTCACCCATGCATGATTTTGTAAGATCATCCAGATCCAGAAAACACTGATTCACTGAGTTATGCACACCTTCTAATTGTTGACAAAAATCATTATTTAATGTAAAAACACTGTTCATCCTACACATCTCATAGAACAGTCTTTATGTTATGGGAAGCTGTAAAATGCCCAAGTTTTCCAAAATTATAAACTTTGCTACAAACTTCAAATTTTATCAATGGCAACAAATAACCATCATCTTGAAGTGAGGGGCTGACCCGGTTCAGTTTTGAGAAAATGTTCACCAATCTTCAAAGCTGAATAGCCAACCATATTTTCTGTCAATCATTCTTTTCAGTAAAATTGATATTCCACAGGAAAAAGCAACTCATTCAATTCACAACTCAAACAAACAAGTGCGTTTCTGGAAGACGACCATCATACTTTAGGTATACTTAAAAGTGTAGCCTGAAGGTTTTACCAGGAAAACTCATTCATGTATTATTCATCTAACAAAGTAAGAAAAGAAGTGAATATAAAAAAGCTTAGCAGGATATACGAAAGGGGTTAACTGATTACCTACCAGTGGAACTACTGTGATTTTTCTTCTCTTTTGTTTGCTTTTCCATATCTTCTAGTTCTTCTACAACAAACATATATTTCTCCTTTATTAACAACAGTAATTTTTATTCACAAAAAAAGTCAATAAAATACCATATGGTGAATTGCTTAAAATTATATTAACTATGATTTTACCCAACTCCATGTCAGAGTATGTGTTTTGGATATTTCAGTTATATGTTCTACAAAAAGAGATTGCAGAATCAAATTCTGACATTGTCAAAAATTAAGAGTAAGCAAGGTAATTAAGTAAATCAAAGTTAAAACACAGATCTTTATACCATTCAGTATGAAGGACTTTTTTTATTATTACTTGAAAAATAATAGAAATAGTTAAAACACAAAATGCATAGTTGTCTGGTGTAATCTGGTCTCTTTTGTTATATTCTTTTCCCTATTTATATGGAACACAAAATGTTTCATTTACACTGGTCTGGTCCGCTAATACCATTTTTAAATGTGTATAAGAGTTCTTCTCACAACAGTAAATACAATTTGTAAAGTAACTATGATTTCTTCATTTACAAGACAGAATTTTGGTAATATTGGAATGTTTTACATCACATACACAATCACTACACAACTACTAGTCTGTTATCTATATTAAATCATTGCACATTATGTTTTCCAAATATACTGCTGAATTAAGTAAAGAGATTAAAAATAGGACAGTACAACACAGTTTCTTAGAGCAATCCTACAGGAAACTAACTTACTGTTCCATTCTATGATATAATCACTCAGGCTCTCAGAATAGTCAACTTTATGGGAATTGCACAAAGCTGTTTTAAGACACCAGCGGTTCGATAAATAAGTTGAGTTTTACTTTGAGATTAGATAATATTTAAACAGAAATATTACTCCCCACTCTCTTCAGAAATGAAATACAGCTTCCCTATTTTGATGCAGCAAGACACACACAGTTCCTCTGGCCACTGCCAGTTCAACTAAAAAGACCCTTGTGCTTTGTTTTGCCCACTAATTTCTTGCTGATACAAGGTAAGGTCTCATTTCCTGTGGCAAACCACCCAGGTAATTTTCTCTTTGAGGTTTCAGACGAAGTCTATAGGAAAGAAACAGAAAAATACATATATATTTGTACTGCTGAAAAACGTATCTCAGTTGCAAAAGGTAACATGGGTTACTGTGTACACACCCAACATCCTTCCCTCGCCAAATAAAGTAATGAGATCTACAGAATTTATTTCTAGATCCAAAAGTAAATAAATGAGAGAGAGAGACAAAATCACTATGCCATTTGTTTAGGCAATTACCTGCCATCCTCTTATCTATTCTTAGACACTAAAGTGTAGACTCTCATTTAAGAAGGAAAGAACTGAATATTATTTCAGATCTATGTCCCACGGTGTACTTGCTTTGGGCTGGCCAGAATGGTGAACTTAATGTTCTCAGCGGGACATGTGCCTGGGCATGTATGTACAACTGCACATGTGCGTATGTACACACACACACACACACACACACACACACAGAGTTATATCAGGCATTTGAAAACGAAGCAGTACTCAAAAAACACTTGCTGAATGAATGAAAAAAAAAGTGTTTTACTTCACAGACTCCTGAGAATCTGGTAAAAACTAGAGATCCACTTTCAGAAAAAAAGATAGTTGTACATGATACTCTGCATACTTTTAGGGGGCCTGAGCACCAAATGAAGCCTCAGAACCTGAAGTTAAAAGTCCCTGGGAAAAAAAGTACACCCAAAAGCAGTGGTTGCGCACTGTATGATCTGCACACACACAAAAAAACAATTTTAAATAGGTAAGTGTTCCATAAGTTAAAAATGGCATTAATCTGTGTTATCTCAGCTTGAGCACTAGCTCCTCAAACCAACAGGACCGAGAAATCCTAAACGGGCACACCCTGAAATCGGGCAGAGTGCACTGAGCTACTGGCAGCACTGGAGGCCTTTACGATCGGCTGGCCTCGTCTAAGTTACAACGTGCCTGTCGGCCTCATACACAAGTACAGTTTGTTCCACTGCAAGAACAAAGACCATATCCATGTACTGTTGATCAGCTGCTTGCTAAGTTTTGTTGTGTTTTCTACGTTTAAAAATGGGTTCAAAATTTTTAAGGGTGAGGGGGAAAAAATAAAAGATCCTTGGCAAAAGACTGCAACTTCATATTTTAAAAAGGTAAAAACTGTTAGCTATTCCAACTTAATTAAATAAATCCAGTGTAGAAGAAAGGGTTATCCACACTTTAGCAAAAGGTAAAGAGAAAAACTGGCTAAGACAGCAACTCAGGTACCATTTTCTCACAGGGAAGAGAAGACCAGGAGAACAGGTATAGTTTGACTTACAAATAATAAATATGAGGGACATAAATGGCATAGAGAAAAGGCATTTGGGTAGAGATAAAATTGGCCCAGAAATACTTGTTCTCCCCCCCCCCAAATCTTAGTAATCAAAATCCCTTGTAGCCACAGACAACTGTAATCGCTTGCTGTAATTAGAGTTTGAACCCCTGAGGGCAACTGGAGGAAGGAACCCACTTAAAATGATGACAAAGCCAAAAAGTAAAACAGAGTGCACATCCAAACAGTAACAGAGCAGAGGGAAAAACTGGAAGTCTTGTTGTAATTGCAGCTAAATACTTTGGAATAAGAGGGACTCTGAAACCAGACAGAGCTAGGTTTGAGTTCTGAGTCACTTGCTAAATGTATGACATTATGGGTGTTATTAAAGCCTCGATTTCTTAACACAGAAAATGAGAACAACAGTACGTAATATTGCTGGATTATCTGGAGAGTTAAATGAGAATATATATAAAATATCAAAACACATTCTGATTTATTCTTGGTACTCATTAAATTAGTAGCTAATATTTCACGTCTTCATCTCCTGTAACATTTGTATAGAATATAACCTTCAGCATTTGTCCTATCCTTATAATAATGATCTTATTTCACTGAGAAAGGGGGAAATGCTTACTTACATTGAGTGTAAATCTCAACAATAAGTATCTGGAGAGATTTTAATTATGAGGTCTAATAACAAAAACAATGCTTTTTAGTGACAATTTCCTTCATTAGTAGAAGACTAAAATTCCCAGCAATCATAATAAAAACGTAAGTGGGTTTTTACATCTTTTTGATACTCCAAATTCTATTAACAAACTACTATAATTGAGTTGAGAATACAAAACAGTAACTCATTTACTGATTACATGTGCACATACATATTTAAGCAATAGAGAAAAATGTACATTATATTTGCATTTATTTCATCTAAAAACTAAGATAAACCGAGGCATATAAATTATCAAGCATAAGGTATTTGTCATAAAAACTATTTTAAATAGATCAATTTACCTGTGATTGAGGGTCTGTAAATAACTCTTCCATTTCTGCATTGCTGAGTGGCTCATTAAAAGAAGTTAGTTTTTGTGAATTTCTGTGACTCTCATCTTTCAGTGAAAAATCATACGGATGCTTTCCATCAACCTTTAAAATGTTTATGGAATACAAAATAGTTACTGCACGCACTACGTTCTTAGGGATTAAAAAACTATGCCTAAAAAAGTAGAGCATAAATGCACATTATTCTGACATGACTATATACAAACCTAACTGAAGTACAGAATTTAAAAAGACCAGTTCCTCTTATTTTTAAGCTATTCAGAAAGGAGTTTTGAACTGTTGGAAATCCTACAAGTATTACCGTAGAACTGAGATAAAGTCCCTAACTCTCTAATATAAATATTAGCGACCACCTACCACCATTCTGAATTTATCATCTAGGAACTAAAGTAATTTTTTAATTATTAGTTTTCACAAACTTTTATCACACAATCAAGTTACTTTAGACCTAGAAAATAGTAAAGGTCAGATTTTCAAGTCTCTACAATCATTTAGTAGAGTCACATTGTCAAAGATGTTATTCTCTGATTACTATTTATTTACCTCATATAACATATAGAGCAGTAATTTTCAAAGCATTTGATTTTAATAAAATATACCATGTAAAATAATACTAAATTCATGGTCTTTCTCTAATCATAGACCATTAGTAACAATTATCTTTGTACCTGAGATATTCTGTACACCAGGAACAGAGCATGATGAATGACAGAAAGATGGACTAACTCATTTGGGGAGGTATTTATAGTAGAGCTGGTCTTTATTTTCATTAACCACGTAAACTACATATGCTTAAAGCCTATATGAAATACATCTATGAAAGAAACAGAACTTCCCAGCTATATAGTCAATAGCAGGTAGAAGAAGTGGAGCTGATATTCCACACAAGAAGCTAAATAGATGGGCTGTATTCCCCTTTTGTGTCTTTTAAAAGAATCTTTTCTCAGATCAGACTTAGGAAAAGCAAAGGAAATAAAGCACCCAGATTTAAAAAAAAAAGTAACCTTATATCGGAATTTCTAACAGTTCAAAAACTATAGCATTCTGGTATTAGAGTATGCAAATTGAAGTCTGACACTATATGAAAATTCTACATATAATTAACACCTTGGAATTAATGTCTGCCTCTTCCTTGCTTCTCTTAGAATTTGAATGGCTCGCTTCAGAGTTGGGGAAACACCTCCTCTTGTTGGAATCACGTGAAGATTGGCAGAACAGTCTGCTGTCACAGTCTTTCTCCAGGATCTCAATTGCCATGTGGATAAGGTACGTGTCAATGTGTTCAGGAACATACATTTTAATTAGTTTAATTTTATTTACATCTATAAAGGATGGGGAAAAAAAGATTTAAATATAAACTACACAGAACACTGCTGAAAACCTATGAGCTGGAAATAGTGAAATATTTTGTAGAATGGATGGAGACGGTGGCCAAAAAACGTTCCTCTTTCAAATACCTATCCCCGTACAGAACGGAAATGGAGTAAAACAGGTCCCCTCACTCCTGCACCACCTGCACCCCTGTTTCCAAGACCCCAAGTCAGGTCAGGCCATCAACTCTGCATAAATTATGTTTCAAACTGTCTTTTGAGGGCTGCCCGGAGACTCAAAACCACCATACACAGAATTGTTTCTAAAGGAATTATGCTTCAAATCCCAAATATCAAGTATAAGTTAATTTTAAGAAAATAACTTATCCTTAAAATAGAAGCTAATCATACTTGTAAATAGATGCTAGTAAAAAGGATTCTTTCAATGGACTGAGTAGCATAACAAAACACATCAATTATTCAAAATGCCTATTGATTAAATAAGTTTTCTGGGAAAGACAGAGCTTATTTTCAGATCTTATTTGCCCTAACTTTCCATGCAAGTAAGTACTGATGGGTAAAATAATGAAGACTGCCTGCAAGCCTTAGGTGCTTTAAAAGAGATCATATTACCCCTACTTTTGTGGCAGGTCCCTTGGAAGCCACCCTTAATTTTCCGGTTACATGCACATAAAGAATGAAATTATTCAGAGTATCATCCAGATACCTCATTAAATACTTTGCTTCATTTATTATTAAGCATAGTTAGACTCTTAACTCCATAAAAGCAGCTTAAAATCATATAAACATGGAAAAAACTAAAAGAATTAAAAAGGTACAGAATTCCTTAAAATATTAGATTACAAGAACAAAACCTACTTAACAAATAAGATAGCATGAAAATAACAGATAACAATTTCTCAATTCACGAATACACTATTTTTAGGTATAAGATTATGTTATAATAGAATATAGAAAATTCTCAATTCATTGCCTTAATTTAAATGCCAACAAACTTGTTCACTGAGACACCAAATTATGTGATACGGCTACAGTTAAGTAAAAAGATGAAAATAACATATCTGAATTGTTAATATGGCAGGTGTATCTTCACTTCTTATTGTAATTTATAACTCAACAATGTTTCCTCCAATAAGAGAACAAACAGTATTTTATCAAGGAAAGAAACATGAAGGAAAGAAAGAATTCAAAAATAAAATTTCACATCAATAAATGGTATCTTACAGACTATAAACACACAGTCAAAAGAAATAATCTTTAGAATTCATGGTTCTCATCTTAACTTTCTCAATTTTAGCTTTTGAAGTAAACCCCAATAATGTACTTTTTCATATTATTTGTACAACCTATATACAGTGTATTGACAGGAAGATGAAATGTTTAATAAGTATAATTTAAAGTATCTTCTATGGTTCTTTGGAATTGCAATTTAATATTTAACTCTGAATGAAAATGCATCTGCTATACTCAGTGTATAGTACTAAAAATAAATGCTTTAACTAAGAAGAGAAACTTCAGCTCCCAGGCACTAACTCAGATGACCACTGCCCAGACTTGCCTCTCAGTCTCTCCTGATTCTGCACCCTTGAAGTTGATAACAGAAGAGATGGAGGTATTCCTTCTTTTGACATTGAGTCAAATCTTGCTCAAGCCTAGAATGAATGCTGCCTTTGAAGGGGACTTAAATATTTTTGTTCTGATCAGTTAAGTATAGTATTAACTGTGCTTTCAGAGCGTGATCTTTTTTCCCTTATTTCCAAATTTTGGGGGAGAACTATATATTCGTCCCCAAGTGGGAAAGAATTTGAGGTAATAAAAAGTTTAATTATTTGCACTACAGCTTTGGAGATAAGACTTTCTGTATGTCCACTGCTTTGTCCTAACAGTCTAAAACAAAATTTATCAGATTTAATGAATTATAGCACACCTAGTTTACATTTGTACATTTAGGGGGAAGTCCTTCTCATGTACCTCATCTTGACTTCCGTTAAAAAAAAAAAAGGTTCATAATTTTAAAATAGGCGTATTTTCAAATATTTTGCAGGACAAGCAAAGGGGCCTGATCCTCATGAGCACAGTTGTTGTGCAGCAAAGTGATAAGAGGAAGCCTTTCCACAAGGGGCCCAGGAGAGCTTGGTCCATCCCTTCAAGGCCACAGTGACTGACACCACTGACTGCATGACCAGAATGGTACTTAAGTGAAACCAACGGCAAGGAATCAGAAAGGTTTAGGAAAAAACTAGGAGTCAGTAAGCTATGGGGAATGAATATGGGGGGAAAAATGTTTTTTTTCCAGCGATGAGGTGGAAATTAGAAAAGGATGAAAGCGCACTGTTTCGGAGATGGGTGTGGAAGTTGTAATCTGAAGCTGAAAAGGAAAACAAGAATTTCTCAAGATTCAGACTTTCCTCTGAGTGATAATGGGAAGAAGGACTTTTTCTAAACGAATAAAAACGCATTACAAGAGTAAAGTTCTCCCAGTAGCATAACTGGTTAATGCTATTAGAGTGGAAACTATTAGTGGATTGCTTGTTTCCGTCATCTGGGTTCAGTGACTCGGGTCACTAAGGCTGCAGACCAGGGGCACGGTCATCACCTGAGTTGATGGGAGGGCTTCGGAAAACGTCAGCAATAATCTTCTGAACCTGTGGAGTCAGGCCCGCTCGCTCCACGTCGACTGGGTAGCCAGCTTTCACCGCTTGGGACAAGTGCGTGCCAACTGTTGTGAGAGGCAGAGTCCTGTTCTGAGCTATATGTTCCTAGAGAAACAGCAGCAAGACAACCAGTGAGTTTTTCAACGTTTCCACTGTACTGGATGGAAATACACTGTCCAAAACTTGCAGTAAAGGTTCACTGAGAAATAAACAGTGAACTAAACCTTCACTTCATTCTTCATCTTAACTATTTCTTTACAAGTACTCACGTTATAGAATGCCCCAGGTGCTACTTTTTATACTTCGTATATTGAATAAAACAGTCTCCCAACTTTAGCTAAGAGATCAATCCTCGTCCCTCTGTAATTATTCGCTTTCAAAATTAGTGACAGAGTAGTCATTCTATTTAAGTCTAATAGCTGCCACAACCTTTGAAAAATGTAGTAAACCGTAATCCAATAGTCTATATACTTGAAGTAACACATGGTACTCTAGTCACATGAATTTCCAAGAAGACAAATCCTTAAATGCTTAGTGATACAGAAAGCTCCAGGTGTTTCCTATAAAAGGTTCTCAAGAAGACTAAAAGGTGCTTTATATTGGCTCTATTCATAACATAATAATAACCACAATTTAACAAGGGCTGTCATCCTTTGCCAAGTATTGAATTTAACATGAATTGTGCTAAATTAAGGACACTGTTACATATTTATGTAGCTTTTAAACAAATGTAGCTCCAAATCCATTTAAGATGTGTGTTAGATAAAACATTCTTTTAAACATTCAGAAAGTTTAGTCACTCAGCTCTAAATTATTTCACAATATTCTCTTTTAATACACCTTGAAAGTCTGAATTTGGACTGTACTTCTATGAATGTTGATACCTTCACAGAATAGAGCATTTAAAGCAGTATTTTCATCCTTTAAAGGTAGGTTTTAAGTTACTTTCATTAAATGTCTACCCTTTTCTACTAGACAGTGTGCACCATGTGTGCATAATATCAGGGTTATTTGATACCAGGCATCATATTACCTAAAACTAATTATATTATTGCTCCTGATTAATTAGTGCTTAGACATGTTTAATTTTGTGGTTAACTGGCAAGACCTCCTCAGACTCCTGGGAGGTACAGACAATTATACCACGATATTTCACAATAACTTACAAGCAAATAATAGCAAAAGACATAAATGAAAATATAGAACTCTTCACACTTTTACCTATGTATATGTAACATAATACATGAAACCTCACAGCCTGGCTGAGTCAGGGAATACAATTTATTCAGAAATTCTGGAAGCTATTCCATATTTTCTTAGTAATTATATACAGTTATACCATACACTTATGATCAAATTGTATATATACAAGCATGTTCAACATGTACATGTAAGCTTTTTTAAATAAGAGATTGAACTTAAAATTCCTATTTATCATGTTATTTGTTTCAAAAATAGTACAATGGAATTAATTTGATTTCTTGTGTAACGGCTTTTGTACTTTTAATTAAGGAGTTTGACTACGTAATTAGAACATCTATTAAGTGACTAAGACAAGCTGTGGACTGTTTATTCTTGTTTCTATTGGACCTTAACCAGAAGACAAAGTGTGTAACGGAGCCTAGTGGATGGGACACAGAACAGGAAAAGCGGGCCCTGGACTGCAGAGCTGCATCCAAATCAATTTAATGTCCAAGAGAACAGGAATGCAAGCTAGTTAAACTGAGCTCAAGCCTCATTCTGCCCCATTCCACTAATGTATACTCTTCCTTTTGTATATTAAAAAAAAAAAAACTCAACAAATCCTTAAAGATTTATGCCAGAACAATGAAGAAACATTAACTATGGCCATTTTTCATGTAATCAGATTTTTTTCAAAGAGCAACAAGTAGACATAGTTAAAGAAAGAGAAAATTACACTAGAGGAGATAGCATGAAAAGCAAGTTTGTTGAATTTTTTTTAAAACTAATTTCTAGCCTCTTGGATATCCTTCCAGAGACACCCTATGCACTCTGTGTGCACACACAAGGATATGTGAATATACAAACATGCGTATGCAGACATACATTTACATGTATGTGTTCACACCACTCTTCATCTTCCCTTTTTTTTTTTTTACTTAATATATTTTGGAGATTATTTCTTTATCAGTACATGTAAGAATAGTTACATATATATATAGTTATATAATATATATATAGTTATATATATCAGTACATATACTAATAGAGTCTTAAAATACAGCTGTTTCAGTATCCCTAAGCTATAAATGTGTTCATCAGTACCTCTGATACAACCTCTATAAAATAATCATGGTCAAACTATACTTGCTGTTTTCACTTAACTGACAGAAGTAGGTTTAGCAGGAAAAGAAAATGACATTCTGTTCTAAAGTTAATTATAAAATGAAACAATATAAAATATTGTAGGATAAGAATAAATTTATCCAAAGTCACAACTTTAATATTGAAAAGCTGACCAAATGCACATTTTAGATAAATTTAAAAATTCCCTCTAATTTGAAAGTAACACTTACCAAAGACATTTTCTTTTCCTGGAATAAAGAGTATGTGATGGCCTCAGACTGTGAAAGTGAGCGTGCTTCATTTTTCTCCACCAGACTTCTATTCTGTTCTTCCTGAGGTTTCGTACTTGGAAAGAGGTCTGTCTACAAAATTTTAAATGGACCACAAATGATCAATAATAATATCAATATAGTGATAGAATATCAACATGATCATTAGCCATCAGGGGAAAAAAATAACACAAATAAAACCTCTAAGGAACAGCCCCAAATTCCCGTTCTATAAGGAGCTCAAAAAGAAGTTTTTTTATTTTTTAACATATTGATTTAAAACGGCAAAGTAAGGCTAGAGGGAATAAGTTTTAAATAAAATATTTATAATGACAAACATGGCTACAGAACTAGAAATTCCTAGTCTTCCCTTTAAGCCAGTAATAAAGAATAAAAAGTGATCTATAATGTGGACTACTCTGCCTCTGAATTAGTCCCGTAACCCCCTGGAAGTGAATACTGAATGAATTAACAGAATTGATATTCAAATTCAGGTACTATAATCACAAATTCTGCTAATGTATCATAAGGGATTATATCATAACTATATGTGTGGCTGTGTGTTGTGCGCGCGCACATGCACGCGCCTATATATAGTTTTAAAAGATACATCCAAACGTGGCTCTAAACTCAAAGCATTATGTAAATTTTAAAATATGGTTCCTTAAGAGACGTTTAAAAGAAAAAAAGGGGAGACAGATTGAAAAATAAGATTAATGAAGAAATACTAGAATTTTTCTAAAACCTGAAAAGAAGGTAAAAGACCAAATGATAGCTATGATAGAACTGTATGATGTATGATTCACAGAAATACATGAATAGTTTCCCTCCTAATTGCCAACTCTGCCTTACAAAACATGGGAACCAATACTAAATTAAAAGGACTAAATCTGAGAGAACTTGGCTTATTGTAACCCACACCAGTCCAGCCCCACCATAAACAAGTCAGGCTGCACACTAGTGCGCAGCTCTCTGGGACAACCGCAGCTTGGGGAAGAAAGAGGCCAGACAACACAAGCCCGAAAGTCTACAGGTTGTTTCTCGGTGAGCCTAGATTTGTAAGGAAGAACATTTTTTATTAAGTGACAGCGAAGTGTTCCCATTTGGGACCTTAACGCTGTCGAATTTGGCCTTAACTTTCTAGGAAAGCCAAACTCCACTAGCCAGATTCCTTAGGACCACAGTGTAGTCTATACCTGGAGGCAACAATGGGCTACCCCTCTACCAAGGCCTGAGACATGAGACCACTGTGATCCATACTGGCAACTCCATCAAGATTTCAAAATCATGATTCATCTGTTAGTGTGTGACCAATGGGTTCAGGAACATCCAAAACCCTCAGCAAAGTGAAATGAGTGGAATAATCTCAAGAAGGTAGGGCTAGAATGTGATTCTAACAAGCAAAACTCTAAAACTCTAATCAGATCATGCTCTCCGCAAGTAGAACACTATGTGAACAGAGAGTGATCAGTTACGGAAACACAAATAGGAAAGGCAGAAGGGCACAAGTTGGTAATGCCAATCCAAGCACTGTTCAGATGAGACGGCGTCTTGGCTAACTAGATTTGAACGCAGGCAGACTTCGGAGATACTGCAGGTCCGTTTCTAGACCACCACAAAAAAGCAAGTATCACAATAAAGCAAGTCACACAAATTTTGGGGTTTCCTAGTGCATATAAACATTACGTTTACACAATATTGTAGTCTGTTAAGTGTGTAACAGCATTATGCCCTAAAAAAAACTATATGCATACCTTAATTTAAAAAATACTTCATTGCTGAAAAACGTTAACCTTCTTCTGAGCCTTCGGTGAGTTGTAATCTTTTTGCAAAAGTAACATCAAAGATCACAGATCACAGATCACCATAACAAACGTAATAATAATGAAAAGTTTGAAATACTATGAGAATTACCAAAATGTGACAGACGAGAAGTGAGCAAAAGCTGTTGGAGAAATGGTGCCCATTGATTTGCTCAAAGCAAGGGTGCCACAAACCTTCATTTTGTTGAAAGAAAGGAAGGAAGGAAGGAAAGAAGGAAGGAAGGAAGGAAGGAAGGAAGGAAGGAAGGAAGGAAGGAAGGAAGAAGGAAGGAAGGAAGGAAGAAAAGGAAGGAAGAATGGAAGAATGGAAGGAAGGAAGGAAGGAAGGTGCACTATCTGTGAAGCGCAATAAAACGAGGTCTGCCCGTATTATAGTTTCCTTGGCGGCCGTGTATGAGATTGCCTCATTCTGCCTTTGCTGCTGAGAGACGACTTAAGACCATCAGAATTTCCCCAGTTATATTCCAGGCCTGCTAAACAACTTTCAGATAAGCTGGCTTCCTAGATCTAATCTCCTTCTCTGGGAGCAAACACACTGGTTGGGTCAAGTGAAACTTCCCAGTTGTATTTCTCACTCTAAATTGAATGAGTTTGCATTCTAATACTTAAACTTATATTTATGTTTATACACACACACACACACACACACACACACACACACACACACACAAAACCAAGCTCACAGAGAAGAATGCAAATCTACTCTCCAAAACACAGCCACTCTGTGATAAGACATTTAAGTCTTCAAAGATTACAAGGATGAGGACTGACCACTAGACCAGACCGTGGCAAACACCACAGTGTGAGTAGCCGGCTAAGCTCCTCCAGAAAATGTGTATTTTGTCCTGATGCATGTTTCTGAAAAACTGCTACACACAACTATTCTGACGCTTTAAAACAGAAACAGAAATATATAACACTGGGCTCTATTTTATATTGGGAATACAACAAACAGTAAGGAAAACCAAGTGGCTACGCTCCTTACCAGCTGAGAGCTAGGGTAACTTTACAGCTTTAATTTCTACCTACATTTGAAAGGAACCTAAAATACAATACTTATTCAAATTTTAAAACAAAACCTCCCAACAAAATAGACAGACGTGAACAGCCTGGACAACTGCTTTAGTATCATCTTAAAAATTAGGTAACTAGCAGTTACCAATAGGGAAAGAGGTGAGGGAGGCATGAGAGAGGAAGGGAGTTAAGAGGTACCAACTACTGGGTATAAAATAAGTTATAAGGATGTAATGTACCACACAGGGAACACAGTTATTATCTTAAAATAATGATAAATAGAGTATAATTTGTAAAAATGTCAGAACACTACGTTGTACATCTGAAACTAATGTAACACTGGATGTCAACGTACTTCCATGTAACTAACATGTTTTTATAACCGATTTACTACAGAAACTATCTGAATTCATTTTTGGGTTTTTTGGGAGGGGTTTTTTTTTTTTGGTTGTTTTCCTGGAGGTCCTGGGGACCTCGTGTGTGCTGAGCCTGTGCTCTGTTACTGAGCTATACCATGCCTTCTGAATTCATTTTCTAAGTGTCCAGTGTGGAAATGAAATTTAAGGGAGAAAATGTTGCTTTTAAAAGGTGTTTTGGAATTTTTTTAAAAAGTTGATTCTCTCAGGGCTCCTGCAAACCACAGTATTTTACCTGAACACCATTTATTTGACAGAAATGATTGATAACTTCCAACAGAGGGGCCAACATCGTAGCTTTGCCTTCAGAAACACCATCGATCCTTTTCACATTTTCAACTGTAGAAGGTCTGTTGTTTAAGAAAATGAAAAAGTCCAAAAACCAATGAGACATTACCACTCCAGCAACACAGCTGACATTTAGCTTCACAGTGACACTCAATAAACATGCATTTTTCACAACAACCAAAAATCATGTATAAAACAAGCAATAGTGTTTTATGATATCTTTCTCTGCTTTCCACCATTTAAAGATTTGGGTTTTTTTTTTTAGCAATTTATGAATAAAAATACCATCAACAGCATCACAAAAACACAATACTAACTGGTAAACATGCCATTATCATAAAGAAACAGGTTATTTCTACCTGATTACTGATCTTATCATTACTATTATTTTCATACATATGAAAAGATTCTAACTGAGGACAACTAAGAGGCTAAGAGACTCAGAAGAAAATCTCATTCATTATTTACATAGTGTTTATTTGTAACAATAAACCTGCTAACTACTTCAGGCTTTTAATTCAACATTTTTTATTGTGTCCAATATGCAAGAGACTGTATGGTGTCTTCTTTCAAAAAATCTGCCAATCTAATGATTACTCCTTTTCCTTGAAGTATCTCCACTGAATATTTAAGTGTGTCTTTGAATATTTATTTTTAACAAAATAGTTATTGTAAGATATAAGCACTATGTAATATCATTAGAAAATTCTACTCTGAAGTAACATTGCTTGGATGAAATTTAGTAACAGAAACAATTTTTTTTTAAGGAAGTACAAAAGCTGACTATCTTGGGGAAATAATTTCTAAATGTTTATTGACTACTTGTGATTACTAGGCATTGTGTAGGTGCTTTGGAAAACACACAAAAAAAATGAGGAATATAGTATCTTTATCACAGAGATCAAAATCTAGAAGACGTAACGCATGTATGCCAATAATAAAAATAAATAAATCATGTAGTAAGTGCCACAGAATCATCTTTTAAATTTAAATTTAAAAGTTCTTTATGAATTCCAGAGAGAGGAATCACTTAGCTGCTAAGAACATGGACAACTGCATGGCAAGTAAGAATAATAAAGACAGATCTTGAAGGATTTTCTAACAGGGGTTTTAGGCAATCAAGGTGGAGGCAACATTGTAAATAAGTATATGGAAGTTGAAAAGGGGACTTAAATAAACAAGTGGTAAATGATCAAGGTAAGATAAACCATTAAAATTTCTGTGACTCACATGGAAAAGTGGGTTTAAATCCATAAAGGGAGGGCCCTGAATTGTGAGCTAAAGAAGTTAAGACAGTGGGAACCTAGTTAAGTAGAAGCATCACATGATAAAGAGAGATTAATTTGGTGTACACATATCAGATGAAAGAGAGAGACTGAGGAAAGAGTAACTAGTTGGAGGCTCTTGCAATAGTCCAAGAGTAATGGTCTAAACTATCAATGGTGTCACTGAAAACAGGGAGGAAGGCAGAGACAGACACACTAGGAACACTTACATGAAAAAGCCTAAAAACTACTTTAAAAAGAGAAAGAAGGGGATTTATGTTAGAAGAGTAAAAACAATATGAAGCTTTACAGGTGTGATTAGGAACATGACAGTGTGACTATCAAAAAAAAGGAATTCATGAAGAAGAGATCTGGTGTCTGCATGAAATGCCTGTCTGGAGGGTTGGTGGGTAATGAGTTAGGTTTCGTATATACTCAATCTGATTGCTGAAAACAGTTGGTTTCATGGAGAAATGCAGGACTAAAGCTCAGTGAAGAGATCAGTGTGGCAACGGGAGATTTGGGAATTACCTGCCAGATGTGACAGCTGGAGCCACAGCCGTATTATTGCTTAATGATACATTTTACAAATCTGTTCTGTTAGAGGAAAATAAGTTAGAAATACGCAAATCATTTACCTCATTTTGGCCATATCCAACAATATCTTATTCGTTGCCAGAATAGCTGGCGGAAAACCCATTTTATTGGCATGGTTTTGCCTGGCTTCCACCAACTTGCCATATAACGTAGTCTGCCGAAGAACAAAGAAACCACTCAATATTTTTTTTGTATGTACTTAGAAAAATCCCGTCCTCTATTTTTGGAGCTTCAGATATTACATTTTCCCCTCAGGATGAAAAATAAACTGAACTCTGCCTTAGACTCTTAGCTAAAGAACAATTTTTAAAATACAGGCAAGAAGAGCTTTTAGCAGGCATAAAATCATAACTATCCTCTCAAAAACCAACTGCCTTTTTACAAAAGCCATACCTGGGTCTCCTGCTCTTGAGCTGAAATAACAGGATCTGAGGACTTGTAATATTTTCCTGGTGATGACACCATGATGCTAAAACATTTAAAAGAAAATAAAGAATAAAAGCTTTTCCTTCCTCAAGTTCACTTTTTATTTTGCTCTCCCCCCATGAGAGATCTTTCCAAATCAATATTAACGTTCATTTGTTGCAACACCAGTAAGGCAACTGTTACTTAAATGACAGCCTAGACTTCAAACAGTTTGCATCAAATACCTTCATTATACTGGTAAGTTAAAACTGCAACTTGAGTTCATCACAAAATCGGTGTACTTAAGAATAACATTTGCTCCACCCTCCTCCTCAGTCAGATGCTTTGAAAGAAAATACTCCTTATCTACACCCAAATCAAAAACATTTTTTTTTAACCAAGTGGGATACAATCTGTAATTGTTCTTGCGATGTTCTAACTTTTGGCTGTTGAGGAACATTAGCATGGAATTAATCACATTATTCACAATTTTCTTCAAATTCCAACTACCAAAAATAAGCCAAAAGCAGTAATTTTGCCTTTGACTCCTCAAAAGAAGAATTAAAAACACCCAATTAGCAGATAACATGGTATGAAAAGCGCTAGACAGCAAACTACCTAGAAAACCAGTTTCTACAAGAGGCATTTCTCACTGATGAATTAATTATAAACAGGAAAAGTTATAAACATGAAGTGGTACAGAATAGCCTATGTAAAAAATGTCAAATTTAAATAAATTCCTGATTGGGGCAGGAGAATAACACATGTGATATTTAAGGAATGTTTATAAAATTCTCTGTTGCAAAAATTTTACATCTTCATTGTAAATTAAGACTTCGTTTTTACAATTATCAGATCCTATCACTGTAAATAAACAGTTTTGAACATGAGAAAAGATAACTCCAGTTCAAAGAATTAGTAATATCAGATGACTCAAGACAATTATAAATTTATTTTAAAATACCTTTACCTTTATATTAGTATTTATGGAAATCTTCATACTAAAGTACTATCTGCAAATTGATATTTTCAGTTATTCCACACAAAAAAAACTTTATTATCATATATACTGGCAAAATTCTGGATGTTTTTGTAACATATCCCTGAAGCAGAAATATGTGTAGAAAACGTACATGTAATGAAAATTCATATGAACTTTAAAATAGCAGTTACTGATATGTAAGTATCTTTCTCACTTCTGTACACTAAGCTTATGTATTAAAATTAGCTTCTGAGCCAGCCCATAGGTATCTCCAATTCAGTATGTCTATCACTAAATTCCTGATTTAACCTCATCCCCTGAACATCCAACCCCTCAAACCCGTCTTCCTCTCACGTCGTCGCCCAGCAAAGGAAACGGCAGCACTCACCCACAAAGACAGAGACCTCAGCGCCCCAGTCAAGTCCTCCATTTGCCTTCACCCACCTATCTTCAGTCACCGAATCCTAACAGTCCTATCCCCTAAATGCCTTACCAATCTCTTTTTCTCCATGCCCAGTGTCACCTCCCTTGTCTAAGCTATCATCACCTCTTGCAGACGCCACCACAATGGCCTCCCTTTTTGTGTCTCTGCAGCTCTGATCCTCCTGCAGCCCGTTCCTGCCACAGCCAAAGTCATCAATCACAGCCTGCCTGCTAGGGTGCACGGGCCAACAGTGTTCCAAGTAAGGCTTGTCGCTAAGAATGGCTTTTTTTTTTTCCTATTTTTCAATGGTTAAAAAAAATCAAAATAGGAACATTTTGTGACATGTAAAAATGATATGAAATTCAAATTTCGGTGTTCATAAATGAAGTTTTATTGGAACACAGCCACACTCATTCTTTTACAAATCATCTATGGCTGTTTTGAGACCCCAACGGCAAAGCTGTGTAGTTGAGACGGAGGCCACATGGCCCTCAAAGCCTAAAATACTCACTATCTGATCCTTTGCAGAAAATGTTTGTGCAACCCCTGTACTCAGTCATAATTTTGATGTCACTGCTCTGCCTAAAACCTTTCCTTAGTGCTCAACTCTTTACGATCAGGGAACAGGATATTCCGGACCCTGTTCAGTTCTCCTGTCCTAAGTGCTACTACCCTCTCGCTGTCCCCTACCAGGGAACTGCTAGCAGACAGCTGAGCCCCTCAGCCCTGCAACACCCTCTCTTGCTTTCAGGTTTTAGTATGTGGGCCATTCCTCTGCTTAGAAAACATCCCCTCACTTCACCTAACTCCAAATGAAGCCTCAAGTGTCACCTTCAAAGTATGTCCCCAACGTATTCGAACCCTGGATTGTAGTTTTATGCTCCCTTACCTGTCGATCCTTCTCGAGTGTAAACTCTGAGAGGGCCAGTGACTATGTCTCTATTACTCCCCACAGAATGCCGCTGCCTAGAATAGTACGTGGCACAAAGATGATGTCCATCAAAAACACAGGGAATGTTTAAATGAAGAAATGCTTCCGCATGTTGAATGGGTAGACTGTTTTGCACACCCCTTAAACCTTTTGTTTACATCAAACATAGCAATCACATATGATGTATCCAAACAAAAAGAAATTATTTGGGTGAGAGATGGTATTCTGGTAAATGTTTCTATCAGATCCACAGTAGTATTATCTAAGTGAGCAAACCATTAGAGAGCAAAGCATTTTCTTTCACCTGATACATATGGAAACATAATCCATTTGATCTGGGTACACGTCCTGGTTAAGTTTTTCAAATTCTCCATCTTCAGATCTTTGGCAATTCTGTACATCCTTCACACTTTACTAAGTCAGCAAGTCAAATCTTAAGCGTGAAAGCACACAGGTGCATCACCTTTATTCTCCACCAACCCTAGTACCTACCATTTCACGTTGCCATAGATCTTTTTTTTGAAAATGGAGTGAAATATATGTATTTCATACAAATACAATTGGTGTTGAGATGCTAGAGGTTGACAAATATAGATTTGAAAGTCATCTCTGTTACGAGATGTATGTCCCTGAACAAGCTAGTGAACTTCTGAACCTTTAGTCTCTTCAACTGTACAATGAGGATAAATAATAGTAGCCAACTCATAGGCTGTTGTAAAAATTAAATGAGATATTACACATAAAATGCTTCGCAGTTAGCACGGAGCCTGGCAAAAAGTAATACCCTGAAGTGTTAGCTATTAAATTAATATTAATACTATCATTTTATAGGTCTGGTTTAATAATTATAATACTGGAGGCTTATGCTTTAACTTCCTTCTACCAATGAAATAGCCCAACATCTAATAAACCTTTCTTTTTAGGAAAGAAACAGAAAACAATGCTAATAAGTGAGTACGGAAAATAAAATTGCAAATTCTGTACCTTTTTTTAGGACTGTTACTCCCAGAAGAAATGTTACCAAATGCTTTGTAAGAATCCATCTTCTCCAACTTAGACCTCTTTTAAACATATAAAGGTCAAAAAAAAGGTTTTAAAAAACTTAAATATGAAGAAAAAAGATAAAAATACCATGATGCTAATTTTTCCTGATTAACCAAGTCATCAAATAAATTGTATGAAAATAAACCCATGAATTATCAATTTCTAGGGTTTTAGAGGAGTTAGAAATACAATATAATATCCCATTCCTCCCAAATCTATAGAGAATATATGATCAAAGGAACTCTGAGACACAGCAACAGCCAAAGTCACAAAAATGATTCAATCATATTCTGCATACTTCAATAAAGCAGAAAAAGTTCAGCAGAAAATTTAATTTAGCACATTTGCCTATTACTCCAGTATTCTAATTGGTGAAGTCTGCCTATGGGTAAATATTTAATCAGTAATAATTACCTAAGATCCAAAACAAAGCAAGAAAATATCTATGTGTGTACCTGAGTGTGTGAGTGTGCGTGTCCGTGTAACTTTAACGAGAACATTAAGGAATCAAGCTTATTTTTCCATCAACTGTAAGTTTTAGAATATCTAAAAAAAGACTCCAAGCTAAATGAGTAGTAAAATAGGCTTAAAAGAATCAAAGTAAGCTCCTTTCTCAAATACTTCTGTTCTCTTAACCCTAGAAATCATCTGTTGCATATTTTATTTTATTCATAATATTTCTCTTCTCAAATTTCATATTTTGTTATATATGGCATTTTCATCTTTAATTTGAGCAGAATTAAAGTATAAAAATTTAAAATTGGAATTGCATCAATAATGAAGTAAGTAAGAACCACCTCTTTAATGAAAACAAACCTTCTCTGCAGTTAATTCAACTGGTACTTGATTAGAGGAAAGTTGTTTAGAGCCTGAAGATACAGCTTTGGAACTGAAAAATAATAAAGTTATCTCAAATGTTAAAATCTAACTATCTAATACATGAATCATCATACCTCCTTTCCTAAAAAGCAGATGAGATTATATTATCCTTTTAGAACTGATTTTTAAAATTGACTTTTCCCCAAAGAACTTAAGCTCTTTCAAGTATAAATTTAAAACTCTTTAAAGTTTTCTAAGTTTAAAAGGAAAACTGATAATCTAATGCACAGCATAGTGGTTATAGCCAATACACCGTATTATAAACTTCAAAGTTGCTTAAGAGACTGGATCTTAATTGTTCTCAACACAAGAAAGAATTGATACTCAAGTCATGTGTTAGCTAATGCTAGCTAATAATGTTAGCTAATGCTACTGCTGGAATCACAGTGTAACATGTAAATGTATCAAATCAACATGTTGCACACTTCAAACTTACACAATGTTACACGTCAATTATATCTCAATTTTTAAAAAAGAGGAAAAAAACTGATAAATGATTGGTAACATGTAAAGTTACTAAAGGAGTGGGCAACAAGTGTATTCCCTCTCCACCTTCTATACATAATAAGGAAATAGGGTACGTGAATTCTTCAACATTGAGCTCAGTGCTGCTTGTTTAATCAACAGGAAAGCAGCTTTCTGAGTACTACACTCAACTTTCTGTCCTGCAAGAAACTGTTCTATGATTTATCTTTCTCCCTAATGACCCCCTACTCCCAAGTGACTAAAAGAGGTATGCAGAAAACAGTATCTTCACTCATTTTACCCTGTGTGAGGCCTATAAGTTAGTATAAAATGAATCATTTATACGACAACAAAAACAAATGGAAGTTTAAAAAAAAGAAAAATGAACCTTGGTAGCAAAAAATTCCTTGGACACAATTCTTCATTAGCTTGAAGGATAAGTCTCTGAGGAGATCCCGTTTTGGCCCTAGCAAGCCAGTCTCTACCCTATTGAACACAAGAATAATCTTATAAGGCACAGCGAGAAAAATTAAATCAAACAGGCAGACTTCTACATTGTTTACCTTTGCTGTAAGGGTGCAAATCTTTATATATTTGCTTTGCCCAGGAACTTCTACCAAGAACCCCTCAGTTAAGAGCTGACAGTAAAGAGCCTTCCACCAACTGCTTGAGTGATCCTTGCCAGTGCCAAAGAAACTGTGACTGCGGTATTTATCAAGACGCTTGGAATTCTGAAACGAGGAATAAAGTCAATGTCTTAAAATGCTTAATTAAGCAGGAGAAGTAAAACACAAAACCATCTATTGATTCTTTGGATTTAACACTACATTTCAGTTTTAAAAACCTATGAAATGTTTATTCCCATTCTGCTTGCTCTGCATACTTAAATCACAAATAAATACATACTCAAAATAGTGTTTCTCTTCTGTTTTAAATAATGGCAGGAAACTTCACATATAAATCACATGCATTTCCCAATGTATAGGTTTGGATATATTTGGAACATTTAATCTTTGCTATTTTGAACTTTTATTAACATATTCACATTATTGTTTGAAAACAGTGATCAGAATCTATGGATCAAGAATAGAAGCGTGGGTTAAAAGGCAGTGTGACCACAGCTGGTAATAAGTGCGGTGCACCCACTCATGGTTTCTACCGCGCAGTTGTTGTCACTGTGCTGTTTGTTCATGATGTTTTGGCAAAGTTTACTTGGTCATTTCTGATTTAGCTACTCCACTGAGACACACCAGGAAAAGCATGCTAGAGTTGATGCTTTTAAGATATTTTTCCATAAGTGAAGAGAGGATTCCGATGGGAGACTCTTCATGGCCATCCAGAGCTAGAAATGTTGAGGAAGCTAGCCCATCATACACAATTCTCTTGCCCTCCAGTGGACATGACCCTTCCCACATTCACTCTCTGCAGAGTAGTTTTTCCATTCACTTTGCCCTCTGACTACATCCTTCATCCATCCTACACATCTAAATACTACTTTCAAATGTGTATGGTATTATATAAACATAGGACTCTCCGGAAAACTGCTCCTACGCAATATATTTGTAGTGAATATGGCAGATCATAATTCAAGGGTCATTCCACCCTTCCTCTGCTATGACTTCTCCTACCACAGAATCTGGGAAGTTACAAACACTATTTCTCAAACTTCCTGAAAACTAGGCTTCTGGATGTGATTTAAGTTCCACTGAGCAGAGGTACTTTTGCACGACATGCACACGCAGGAATGAGGCAAAGGGGGCTACTCTGCTATTTCTGCAGGTGTGCACGACTGTAGAGGCACTTGCTATTTAGGAGAAAGTGTTAGCAAAGAACCCAGCATACAACTGCTGACTTCCTAAGTAACAAGAGACATTCGTTTTGCTGATACAGATTAGAGAAGGTGCTCCCAGAGCAAAAAGAAGTAGAACCTTCCTGATTATTACAGCTCCCCATTCAGGGCAGTTGGGGGTCAAGGGCTATGTGCGAGCTTCCCAAATTGACACATAGCTTCCTGAACACAGAAGAGGCAGCAGCTCCCATGGCAGACTACTTTGCAGTATAACCGTATCAATAATACAGTAAGCCATTTAAAATCCAGTAACGAATACCCTTCTGTTTAAATTAGCAAGAGTGATTATGAGCTTCCTAATATAAATACTGTATTTTAGGTTATATTCACATTTCAAAAACATTCACTAATTCAGTTACTGTATTCCAAAAATTTCTCTATGAAATACAGTCTAAAACTTCAGAAATAGTTACAGCCTGTTACTCAATATTTTTACATTTCATCTATATTCTAAGGATGGTTTAATAATCAATGCATATTCAAATCCAGGGATCAAAATTAAAAGAATACACAGGATGAGTTCCAGCAGACATAACTCAGGCACTATAAGCCTTGCTATCACAAATGTACTGGTTTTGTTCAGCTGCTGAGAATGGTATGGTTACAAGTTTATCACTGTGGAATGTTAAAAATGTGAATACATCCTGGGTTCAATCCCCGATACCTCCTCCAAGCAGAAATCAATGAAGTAAACCTAATTACCTCCCCCTCAGAAAACAAACAATACAAGCAAAAATGTGAACACGAGTGCAAAAACCCTAAAAAGGCCAATCCCTCACATAAAGGAATCTAGGCTGAAATTAGTTTAGATTAGGGTAAGTTCCCATCAGGGACACATCAGTGCCTAGACACTGAGATTTTTTTAAACACAGGCTTCTAACAGATTTAGTTAACAGAGCCTGTAACATGCATTCTATTAAACCTTAAAAATAAAAACAAAAATTTAATTTTGTATTAAAATTGCTAGTAAGAAGCTTTAGTATCATGATGATTATATTTACAAAAACTGTCTGAGAATCAAGACTTAGAGAAACGGAAACACCCACGTACCTTTTTCCATTACAACCTCTACTACCTATACTGACTGACTTTGCTTTGATTTGAGTAGAATGTTTAAAATCAAACATCACAGAATTTCAGATCTGGAAGGAACATTGGAGTGCTTTGATTCTACCCAGTCATTTTTCACTTGTACACAAAAAACCAGAGGCTCAAAGATGTTAAAGGGTAGCTTAAGGTCCTCGAGGTAGGAGTATGACATAGTCCTCCAGACCATCAGTTCTAATTTTGTATGACTACCATGCGTATACATACACAGACACAGAGATACCAATATGCATACATATACATATATACTGATTGTAGTTAGTGCCGCTGGACCACTTGGGTTCAGGTCATAGCTCTGTTACTTACTAGTTTTCTAATTTGGGGCAAGTTTGTTCCTTAACTTACCTGTGCTTCCATTTCTTCAGCTGCTATACAAGTACGATAATACTTTCTATCTCTTAGGGATGTTGTGAAGATTAAGTGGTAACCAGAACAGAGCATGGCTCAATAATAGTAACTTTCTTTTTATGAGTTAATAGCTGATCATTTAACTTAACCTGAATTCCTTAACATAAAAGCAAAGCCCTGACTCAGTATTAGTCAGTTTCCCGGGAACACTAGTAATGGCATTCTACACCTGCTGGGACTTACCTTTGCAGTACGAGATTCTACTGCTTGCAAGCTAGTAACACCCAAGGTATTAAGTTGCCTAACTTATTAGCAATCTGGACTCTAAAAATTATTCCTCTAACGTTCCTTTTCATAAGCAGAAAACAACCTGAAGTGAATGAACACGTTTCCTCTTATGAAGCAATGAGATGTTTTTCCAATCAGTAGGAAGTAATGTCCCTTACCCTCATGATAAATAGTCACTGGGAATACTGCACACTGTGTGAATAAGTTTACACTGTCTTATTTCCATGGTAATCACTATGCACAAAATGAAATATCTCTGCTCTTTGATATGGAGCATTTTTGTGTTAAAGGAATCATAGTCCCTTTTCAACTAGAAATCCAAACTTACCCAAGTAAGGTTTTTAGAAAAAAAAAAAGCAGAATACAGTAAGGATTTTCAACAACAAATATCTAACAATTTCTCACTCTGAGCAAGGCATCCTCCATTAATTGCTTACAAGTTCTAGTTAACTTAACTCTCCAGGTTAACCCACTGATGAAGTAAAACTGCCTAGGATAAGAAAGCTGCCACAGAGGACACAGGGATTTCAGCACTGACTTTTCAAGGAGGACACAATTTTACACACACATCCCTCACCAATCATAAATCTTTCACTCCAGTATCTCTAGATCATTCAATCTAAAAATACAAATTTAAAACTGCATGTGAACCACATAGTAAAACAGAAACAGCACAAGAACAGTAGTCAGGAAAGCTGTCGCTCATCCTGATTCTGGCACAAAGCGATGACCGGGGGAAGGTGGTTTAACTTTCTGGGGCTTAGTATCAACCACTGTATAATAAGGGGGTAGAGTTAAATAATCTTTTTGCCCTAACAGTCTATACTTCTATAGGACTTAGCAAAAGTGCAAATTATCAACTCATTCTTTTCCTTTAAAAAGCAGGTTGGAAAAATAAGGGGTACCAAACTGCTGCATGAAGGCAATGTGGAAACCCACTGACTAATGGATGGATGAGTTAGAATAAAGAGAGCTGACTGGCCAGGGTAAACGCCCCAAAGTATCACTTTCTGATTAAAGCCAAATCTTTGCACCACTATCTGATGGAGAAAACAAACAAACTGGCCACTTCTCTGAATTAACTTTAAAAATCACAGTTGCTTTTTCTGATAGTTCTTTCTGCTATGAACCCCACATTCCCCTCCATTCTTCTTCCCTCATTCCATCTCTGAATGCCAAAATCTACTCTCACCCACAAAACAGAAAGCGCCAGTGATGCTTTCAGGAAGACTTCTCTAGTTCTGCAACCATTAACAAGCTCTCTCTCTTCAGAACTTAAACCAGACTTTATATCTATTCACAAGTCCCTTAACTCCTTCTACACTGCAATACACTAATCTCTTCCCAAGTAACACCTTCCATACTAGATGGTAAGTCTCATCTAATTCCACTCTGGATTCCCCACAGAACAGAGTACAGTGCCTTCCACAAAAATAGATAGCTAGCAGAAAAAAATTATAAACTCTTAACTCTAGAAGTTTTAAATTCCTATGTTCTTAAAGTACAAAATAAGTACAAGTTTCTGTTTATATTTTAACTAATTTTTTTTCTTTTGACTCTTTCTCAGCTCCTACAGGCCAAAGAAGCTCACCGCTGCCATTTCAAGGCTTAAAAAGTCATTTCTGAGACTTATTCCATGTGCACAATAAAACCGAAATATAAAGTAATAATAATTATCTCTAGGAATATATTTCAATTTGACTTAACAGCTTTCCCAGAAAATTAAATGAATAAACCTCTCCTGTTAGAAAGTTTGAAAATTATAAAAAGTGATTAAAACTACCAATAGTTTTCCAGTGGCTGTCTATAGTCAAAGCATCGCTTATAAAAAGCATTTTCTAATTCTGGAGCCACTATAAGGTTTGGCACTTTGATCATGTGATCAGGGAAGAAGTTTCAGTTAAGCTCTTGGTTATGCATATTAATGACTGCACCTGCTTTCTAATCTACAAAATTAAGATAACTGCATATCTTAACACTTACTAACAAAAGGCATTTAAAAATTTCTATGTGGTGAGCTATTCAGACTCCTAAAACAGAGTTCCTTAGGCAATATTTCTACTATTTAATTTCTAACAAAACTTGTGCTTTAAAAACAAAACTTTAAATTCCATTCATGAACACCTGAATAGCCTGGATAATCATTTATACACTTTAAAAAAATCCTATCTAAGAAAGGAGAATCAAGTGCTGCTAAAATGATATTTGTTACACACGTGCAAATATTATCTCTTTAAATAAACTCCAAGAGTTTTAAGTTTAAGATGCTTATCTTGCAAAACAAAATTATCTACAGAGATATTAATTTTTTCCTAAATTAGTTAAGGTGGACAATTCACTAAACTCTCAAAGGAATTAACAATTATAATTTTAAAAATAATATCCCAGTAGATATCAAGATCATTGAAATAGAGGGAAAAAAAACTTGCCTTATTTTCACTGCAGTTAATGCCAACAAATTTTCACTAAGTGGTACTTTTTAAAAAGTTTTACACCTTTATCTAGCAAGGGTAATATAAAATTTCACAAAGAATAAACTTCTTAATTTGCGGATTCCCAAAAGAGACTGTTGGTATAAGCGGTCTGACTTGGTTTTCAAATAACAGGTGAAATCTGATCCCTCTTGTGACCGGTTCAAGTTTGTCTAGGAGCCCACTTCCACTTATCTGTTGATACTGGATACTGCTGGTTAATACCAAATTAAAACAAGGATAATTTTTATAATTTAAATCATACATTCAACTGAGATACACAGGTTTTGAAAATGACAGAGATAGATTAAATACAACTGAGATGTATGAAAATTTCTTCTATCTCTTGCAACTTAAAATCTTTTTCTGAAAAAGTACAGCAGCTCTAGTAGCAGCTAAATCAAGTTCCTTAGTCAATGCTTCTTCCATTAAATTTCTAATCAAATTTGGGATTTAAGAAAAAAATTTCTTAACGCTATTCAGAACCTAACACCAGTAA